TCACTATTTTCTGGTGGGAGCCTGATGCCACTGAAACTTCTTAATTAGCTATGTGGGGAAAACGAATGAGTGGCATTTTAGGTGTCTTGGCTTAACACTTCCAGAAAGGGTCTGATGCTCTTGTGTTTTACTTTTAAATTTACAAGTGATAAGGAAGGATGTCAGGGAGATAGCTGCCAATGTATTTAGCAGGACACATTGCAGGTGGTTCATTCCTTGTCTTCCAGATCATAACAGAGCTTCCATTCTCAGGTGCAGGCTACAATACTTAGAGGAAAATCTGAATTTAGGGGTACTTCGTAACATTCCCTCTTTCTGTTGCTACTGTACTGCACACTGGTTTTTTTCCCAGCAGAACTCATGTCTTCACACAGTATAGTATTAGAGGCATTGCATTAGGCCCAAGGCAAAACTTGGGTTTGATTATTTTGTTGACTGGCCTTCCTTTTATCCTGTCTGGAACCACAGCTGTCTCCCAGGCAGTGGTTTGTCCCTTGAGAGATATGGAAATTATGTCGCTGCTTGCAGAGGCCATAGAAAGAGAAAGAACTCAGAGCTGTGAATTAGTGATTCTAGATTAGTTAGCACAAATCTATCTCCAGTGGGGTCTCCCTTATTCTGAGCCATGACCCCTGTCTGAGACAGCTGTAGCTTTTCATCTCTGCTAATTCCACTTGGATTTTCCTCCATTCCTTCCACCTGATGCTGGCTCAGACTCTTTAGAGACAGGATATGTTTAGCGCTAATGAGGGAGACTAAGATGGGGCTTGTGGTGGAGAATTTCGACAGATCTATATGGAGCACTTGAATAAATTTTATAATGGTTAATTTATAGCTGTCTTTGCCATCAATTTAGCTGCCTCTGAGACTCTGGAGTTGCCAGGTCTTAAGTGGAGTGGCAGAAGCCAGAAGACAAATATTTTAACTGCATATAATGACCTAATCTTAGGAGGGAGGGGGCATGTACCACAAAACATGAAAGTGTATGTGCCTATTTTTTTAACTTATATGTGATCTAAGCAGTACTATTTTTCGGGGGGGGGGGGTGACAGAACTCAACACGAATGTCTCCCTTGTTCTTTTATAATGGCAATGGTGCCCACCTGAGAGGTGCCAGAACTGAGTTCAGGTGAGTTCTGGCACCTCTTTTCTCCTAGGATGCTTGCATACAGAATATTTGCACCCATATTTAGGGGGGCAAGATGCAGATGAGGGCAGGGCACCTATACCTATATAAATAGTTGTGGGGAGGAGAGAATAACATGCAAACTGTACCTGTTGAAATTCTGTGCTCTGCATAACCATTAAAGGTGCAGGAACCGTGCCCTCATTTGCATCTTGGCCACCCTGCCCACCTTTGGTCTTGGTCTTTCAGTGCCCAGTTCTCCTCATCTGTAGGCGCCAATACTGAAGTCAGAGCCAGCAATATGTCAGACTTTAATAAAAATTGATGCTTTTAAATTCTAAACATTTAATTTTGGCAGCCAACCTCTTGCAAAGCTTTCAGAGCAATCTTGTTAATGTTTTAACCAAAGCAAAAACAAGCATATCTCAGCACTTCTGTCTGGCTCTCAGGATCTCCCCCCCTCCCCCAACATCTCCTACCTCCTGGCTTCTGCTCCTGGAGTGTGCTCAATCCTGCTGCTGCAGCATGCTTTGCCTGGAAAGTCTTAATTTGCCAAATGGACATTTGCTCACAGCTTGCCCTTAGTTAAAGGGTGGATTGAAGTGGGGCGATTGAAATCTCATAGCCATTAACAATATCTGTGAAGTGAATGTTCATAAAGCAGTGAGGGGGAGACCCCTGCAATATCCTTCCATTCTGAGCAGAATCTAAACTAAGAAAAGGATAAATTAGAGATGTTTTTAGTGGGCATATATAAATAGTTGCAAGCCAAGGAACTCGTGCTCTCAGTTTTAAAAAAACTGCTATACACAAAGAGCATCCTAGAAACACTGTCCATGCTCGTTAGGGATTGTGCTGGTGATTTCACCCTCATATTACCTATATATTGGGCAGCCAATGAGATAATGATGTTCTACCACATGCCTCATCTCTCTCTCACACGCACACATACTGACCACTCAAGTGCTCCCATTCCATCAGCTCCAGTGGCTCGGGCAGTAATGACTCTGCTACTTCCAGTCCCCAGGTATCTCCACAGGCAGTTCTAATCTTGTACTCCTCACAAGCACTATTTCTGAGCACAGTATAAAAAGGAAAGTCCATGCAAAATAAGACATTTCAGCACTTTTCATAGAACCTCAGACCATGTCTGGCCAACCGGTACAGAAAACTACCTCCAAGCAGCCTTACAGCAGCTGAATGACCAGAAGGCAGATTTTGCTGCATTTCCCCGAAATAAATTTCTGTCCCTAGCACCAGCAATCGTTTTAGTGTTCCGACAGCCCCTGGATTGCAAAGCCAAGTGGCCCAGAGGCACGATATGGTCCATTAATAGAACACCTAACAATGGCAACTTTCACCCATTTAAATCTGAAACGGCTCAATCACTGCATGAGAACTTAATATTTGCCAATTTTTCATCCTGGCAGGAATTGAATCTCTGTGGGCATCTGTTGATCATTCAGAAGCAGACTCTATAAATGTTTCCAATACAGAAGGCTTCCAGTTCTCTCTTTGCAGCCCTGAGGGAGTTTGTGAATGTTTTTGTAAAGGTTATGGCACACTTTGTCTAGCAAGAATTGAGTCTTTCCCAACCCAGTTTATATTCTTCTAGTCTTGTCCATGGGGCGGACAGAGAATAAAGGGATGTTCAAGCCTGTCTTAACCTGCCTCATGGACTAACTGCATCTAGAGAGCTCTCTTCCTCTGTTGCAGTGATGAGAAATGCTGAATTCATGATGAAATTGGGTTATTGATGTTAACATCCAGATTTAGGTCACTGATGAGGACTTTAGGCAAATGTGGATCTTATAGTCTGTCAACCAGTAGGGGATGATTGTCTCACAAGAGTAATTGGTCCAGATTCCACACAGTTGTTTTCAGGGCTCCTCTTGCCTTCCGGCTTGAAACTGCAGCGCAAACATACCTACAGAGTTAGTTAATGAGGGATATTTGTGTATCACCATTTTGGTGTCTGTTCCCAGTCAGATGCAGACAACCACAGACTGTCTTCCTTAGTCTGAGTATTTTTGTGTGTGATGAAGCATCCTGGATTTAGGAGCCAGGAAAGAATTCTCACTCAAGTTCCTCAAAGCAGAGATAGGGATGATGGGTGAAGTGTGAATCTGATAACTAAACTGGTGCAGACAGTACTTGGTTTAAAAATAAGTAAAGGCGCAGCACAAATACCTAGAAAAAGAAGTAGTCCTCAACCTTAGCTGCTATTCCTGCACGCAACAGGAGGAAGGTTATTCCCGGGGGTTGTAGGGTGGGTCATTTCTCCCACCCATGTTAAAAAGAAGCAAGAGAAAGAGAACCTGCTGGTCACAGGCCAAAGTATGAACCAGTGATGCCTGGCTTGTTCTTTTTGGATGTCTGAATTTACCAGCTTCCAGCTTAGATATTCTGAGTCCAGCAGGATCTCATAATGTTTGTTTTACATTAGTGTGCATCTTAGTGCACTTGGGCATAATAGTCTTTTGTTTTTTATATATATAGTTTTAACTTGTTAGGACTAAAGAGCTTTCTTCCAGGCTATATGGGCTTAGTATAGGAGCTAGATGGAAGCTCCTTCTCCCCCTGGATAAGCCCAACAATAAACACTGCCTGACCCCAGAATCCCTGAGAATTAAAGTCAGTGGGGAATACTTCAAGTTTAGTGGAAGAAGGGGTATATGACCCTTGTGCCAAAAATCAGCTATTTGATTATTTTCACAAGGAATTCCAAACATTATTCTGCCTTCAGCTGCATGGTTTCTGCCACTGGTTTCTGCCAAGCAATGGATCTGCAACTCCCATCCTGCAAACTACTTGGGAAAGAAGCATTCTCTCCCAATCCTAAGAGAGCAGGTCCCTTTCCCATTTATTGCAGCCAGCTGCTATCAACTCGAATCTGCCTTCTCCCTAGCTGCCTTTTATCGCCTCAATTAACATTTCCTTTATGGCAGCTTGTGAGTGTGGGTAACTGTTCAATAGCCTTCTCCCAAGGCACACTATCCAGACTTCATATGCTCTGACGGAAGCTTACCTGGCATTCTGTCCTCATTACAGCCATTTCACACCCCATAAGTCACCATAGGGCACTAATGTGGCACATTCACACTGGAAAGGGCTCTCCTACAGTAGCATTTCTTGCTGTAAAATGTGTGTGCGCGCGCACTGTGCTACAGCACAATAGCAGTTCCAAGCGTTCTGGCTCTGGTTGGGCAGTTTATAAGCTATCCCAAATGGTTGCTTACTATCTTGCAAAAGGCTTATTACCACACCACGGCTATATGGGAAAGCTTGCTGATCCATATCAAACGCATTCCACAAATGAGTACCTTAGGAAAACCATCACCAATCTTGCCTAGTTGTCAGGGACTTCTGCCCAGGTGGCTTTGAGTTCAGTATTAGAAGGGTATAATCCCTGGTGACAGCCATTACCTTGTTTCTCTGTCATTGGAGCTGGTTCTCCCCAGTGCTCCTGTCCCAAGTCCTCATACACAAATGTTGAGGTGGCATGTCTGTGAATGGAGCAAGGCTGCACCACTTCAGATTGTACCACTTCATGACTGATGGGTGGGCAAGGAGAGGGATTGGCTAGTGCTGGCAGCAAGGAATAAGAGCAATTGCCACGATTCATCTGGCTTGGGTAGTTCTAGTGATCAGTGGGCCCTGGCAGCTGACCTGGGTTACATATTTAATATACATTGTGTACTCATTCAGGGAAATGAGAATAGATAGGGTAGAGGTCACCAGCGACGCTCATGTTCAATGGCTAATCCTCAATATAGGATAGGGAACCTGTGGCCCTCCAGTTATTGTTGGATTACAACCTGACATCCTTGAGCATTGGTCATGCTGGCTGGTGATGATGGGAGGTGGAGTCCAACAACGCCTGGAAGACCACAGGTTCTCCATCCTTGCCTTACGAGTTCCTTCTCAAGTAGATGCTTTTTTAGGGTGAATTTTGCATCAAGGCCAGAGCTAGACTTCCTTCTTTAGGGACGAGGAGGCTGTGGGAAGTTTATACCAGTGCACGGGGGAGAGAACATGATCGATACTGAGGACTATTTTGTTGAGTCCAATGGCTTTTGAATTCAACAGCCAAAGCAATTCTGTGCGAAAGAGTCAATTGCTGGCTCTTGAATCCTATATCTAGAATAGAGTGTAGATGCCTAGCAAATATTTAGACTGGCAGCAGGGCAAGATCTTAAACCTGCCGTGATCAAGCAAGTCATGTGACATGAAAGGAAGGAATGTCCCATGTAAACTATTAAAGGCCCATCTGATTCCAGTTGTACAGCATGACAAATAATTATATATGAAATTTCTATGCCCTGCAGAAAAATGTTAGCCCTTTGATCTAAGCAGAGCATCTCGCCTGCATCAAAGGAACAGAGCACTTTGTCCTAGGGTACTGTGAGCCAACCCAGTTTCAACAGTGTTTGCGTCTAAGGTTTTACTTCTGTGTTGTTGAGGTGTGCCAAAAGCACATGGGACCTGTTCTGTTTTTCAAAGTAGATGGGGAGTCTGAGCATTGTCTTCTGGCGGAGGTCTCTCTTTCTAACAACAACATCATCAACAACAACAATTTCTACCTCACCCATCTGGCAGGGTTTCACCAGCCACTCTTAGACCTTATCTGTTTTTGTTTATTGTGTGCTTGCTTTGCCTTTGCTGATTTTGGAGCCAGCTGTAGCGCTTGGGGTCGGCCAAGTGGTGTATAGCTAAACCATATGGCGTGAAAGCATGGATAACATGACACCCTTCAACACAGTGACTTGCTGCCCTGCCTTGTCTGCAGGAAAACACACCCACACATAAAGCAGCACTTGGTACATAAGGACCATGATGGATGGTGGGCCTCTAGCATGGGGATCCATCTGGGGTCAGCCTGGCACTTTTGCAGTTTTGTATTCACATTTCCTGCCTTAAAGCACCCTGTTGTCTAGCTGCAAGCTGCCATGTGGCATAACACATTTCACCATGTTGGCATAAAATAAGACTGCCAGCCTTAGCTCAGAACTGTCTGTGTCCCCAATTCACAGGTGGCCAGTTCCTCAAAGGGGGTGTGCAAGATTGCACTTCTCAACATGGCAACAATGTAGAGCCATGTTCCCTCTCCCTGCAGCCCCAGCCTTTGGCTCTTGTTGAACTATTAGCTTCCAGCAAAGCATTTTTCACACTTCTGGTTAGCAAGCTGCATTGATACACCTTTTGGAGGGTTGGGAAGCGGCACAGCATTGGGGGGGGGGGCTGCATTTGACTCTTGTCTCCAGACAGAAGATGATTCCTGTTGCTTCTGTTGTGCATTCCACATCCATGCATATTTACACATGTTGGCCCCACTCAGTTCAGTGGGACTTACTCCCTAGTAAATGCACATAGTGGTGTTGTGGGGATTCTTTTGTACCACCCCCCCTTCCCCCTTTGCAGAGCCTGCATATGCAACGGTGGGAAAATCATTGCTTTAGACTAGAGAATTAATTCAGGCGCTCCGTTTTGTGGATTGGTTTGTTGATAAAAATGTGCCCTGTCTCAAATGGTTTACACCGGTCTCTCAGTCTAATTCAAGCCGAGGCCATTCTAGAGACAAAGACAAATGCATTTCCCACCCTACCTTGCTAATCATTCTGGGCAGAGTTGTGCCACCTCAGGCCTTCAATTCATTTCCCTTAAACGCTTCCCTTCCTTTCTGATCTACCTAGTTGCTGATGAAGTGCAGCCTGGTTCAGGCTCCTTCTCCTTTGCCCCTCTCGGACTAATTGAATTAAGCGGATGGGAAGTGAATCCAATTGACTAGATTAAATGAGCTGGGCACAGATCTGGGAAGAAATCGGGGCCTTGGAAGCGGAGCAAAGGAGCGCTTCCTGTGGCTACAGCTCTTCCGCTGCCCCGTGAACTGCACCCCCCCCCAGGTGCCATCACTTCACCACCCTTTGCCTTTTGCTTAACCTCTCATCCCTGGTCTTCCAGCAGCCCCTGCTGGGAAAGTGCAATGGCTCCCCGTCTCCTCAGACATTTCCCCCTTCACTCTCTTCTGTTGCGCAGAGCCTCCTTACTCTCCTAGGTAATTAGTGGTTAATTAGCCAAGCTGTCTGACTTCGGCATGGCCCCCTCCACTCACGCTTCCCTCACGCTGGGCCTCAGGGCTGTGAGTGTGTAATGAACTGCAGGCTGGGGAAGGCCCCAGCCACATTTGCTCATTTAATTTCTGCTGCATCAGCTTGCAAGTGCATTGGCTTTGAGGCTCTCGCTGTGCTGGAGGGGGCCTGGGACCTCCAAGCTGTTAGGTTTAAGTTGTGCTCCGGGGAGCAAACGCTCTGGTGACAAGCACCAGCTGGGGCTAGAGGAGGCTGGAGAGCACTGTCCTCTTCAACGCCAGCATTCCCAGACTGGCTTTCTCTCCCCGCTCCCGCCCCCAAGAAGAACTGTCCCTAGATACTTCCACACATCTGCTGCTAGTGGAGGGAAGAGCATGTTTGTGAGGATGAAACACACAGTCTCCATTTCCCTTTCGAAAGTGAGTGGAGACGGGGTGCAAACGCCTCTAGAAATAATGACATCTGAAATGGAAGGTTTTGCCTTTTTACACTTGACATTCCTGTCTGGTCCATGTTTAGGGTCTCCCCAAGGTTTGGGTGACATTTTTATCAGCTGCTTTGAAGTTTGAATGTGTGTGCGCGCTCTGGGCCCACACACACTCTGGGTTGTTCAACCTTTTCCTCCAAACATCCATATCCTGATGTAACTTCCCACACACCCTGCCCCAAACTATTTTTAAAAGCCAGGAACACCATCTGCACCTTTTCCTTCCCCCGCCCCAATGCCTCACTACTCATGGAGATATTAACAGTGGAGGGAGGGATTTACATAAAAGGACTAAAACCCTGTCCAGAGTAGCCACATGAGGGTGCTTAGTTAGTTTTCTCCTCCTCCTTAACACATACTGTAATCCTAATCCCAGATCTCCCACATGCCAAAGTTACACAAGAACAGCCCTATCCTACCCAGCTCCCTTGCTGATGTGGAAACTCAAAACATTTGCTATCACCATCTTGCCACATTTTAAATCCCTGATAGGCTGCAATATTTGCCAGCAAACATGGAGTTCCTGTCCATGAAACTGACAAGTAATCTATACACTGCCATTCATACTTAGCAGAGTTTTTAAAACTCACCTATCCAGCCTTAAAGATTATTTTACCAAGTAATATAGAAGCAGAGGACAGGACATGAACCTCCATTCTTGGAATGCTTCCTGAATTGCGGAGGTGGCTGTGGCCTTCCTTGCAGAATGGGATGCCAATCTTGCTCATAGGTAGCAAGGCTTTAGGTTAAAATCAAACCAGGTATTGTTGTTGTTTATTAAATATCTATACTGCCCTTTATCCGAGGATCACAGGGCTGTTTACAATATAAAACAGAACAATATTCCCCACTTCAAAAAGAGGAAAAATTAATTATGGTAAAATCAAAATGGAACATCAGCTGTCCAGGATTTAGATCATGGTGATTTAACATCCTGTGCTTGACTTTCCCCACATAGTTAAGCCATAAGAATGGAAATCTGCTATTAGCTAAAGGTGTGCTTAATAATGGTGATCAATGCTCTGTCTTTGCTTAATGAGCTGTTAAATTGCATCCCTGAGATAGATCACTAAGACCAGCCTGCCTTTGTAGCTGGGAGGTGAGGTGTTGTGTTGCAGTGGTGAGGGCATAGTGCTCTCATTCTAACAGAGATACACCATGCTTCCCTCCTAGCAGGACTGAAAGGACTTGATATCAATGTTCTTCATTTGCCCTCTTGATTTACAAAGTCCCAGCATTTTGGTCCTAAAGGGTTACTATGAATATGGTCTCATAAGTTTCCCACTAGCCTCAAACACTGCAGCGAGACTGTATCTCCTGCTGCCATCGCCCACAGCCTGCTTTTATATCCAGGTGATTTTAAAGGCCTTCTAAGTGCACAACAAGCAACCCAATTGCTTTCGAGCTCAGGTTGATTCAGCCTTCCAGCTGCAAGCTTTGAACATAATGCTCTTGTAAAATATGCTGGTCTATTATTGAGGTGTATGTGATGGATTTGTTATCTGATCTGTACCAGCATTTGAATAAGCACTCTTTCACAGCTGCTTTTGTTTCAATACAGCCAAACAACAGCAACAAGTGATGGAAGATGTATATAACTGCATGCTGCATCTATTTTGGCTATGTTTGCTAATACATCAAGGCTGTTGGAGTCCATTCTTTTTGTGTCTAAGCCTTTGTGAAATGCTCCAGGCCAGAGTAAATCAAGTAGCCACTGGAGGTTTAGCATTGAGGTGAAATCTATTTCAGACAATGCAGGTATGACTCAAAGCAGCTTTACGTCCTGCAAAGAAGTCACTAAACAGGAATGATTATGTCATCTTAAAAAATGGTCTTTATTTCTTAAATTCAAATGTATGCATGGTACACTCACTTCTGTTGATCTTGTAACAAACTGAAAGAAATGCAGAGAGGAAGAGTTGGTTTTGCGCACAGAGCAATTAACAACCAGAACAAGTAAAAACTACCATCTCCACCAAACCAAATGGAAGGTGTACTCAAATGGGTATGTGGTTTTTTTTGGTGCCAGGAAGAATGAATTATTCCCAGGGGGGCCAGTTCACACATGCATGAACATCACTTGATGACATGCAACTGACAAGTCTTGTCTATGCATGCAGCAGAGTGAGTTCTTGAGTTCTGAGGTTACCTAATGGATTTTACCACTTCCAACTAGGGCTGAGGAAGGAAACCACTTTGATGTTCAAAAGAAATAAATCCCTGCAAATAGCAAAGTATGAAGCAGGCTGCACCAAAAGCTTTATTCCTGCCATGTTACATGTTTGTATGTGTTTGTCTATATGTCTTTACTGTTTATATGGAGGAGTGTGGGGTTTTGCCTAGGGGAGACCTGAAATTGCACCCAACCCCCACCACCACACCTGCAGTGTGAAATGGTGCAGTCTGTCACTGTCACAGGATTCCATTTCTAAATATATGAACCTACTGTATTGAAAAGTATTAAGTTTTTAGATGATGTCAGGTGCTTGATCTGTGGTGGCTTTTGCAGACGTTTGTAGCCTCTGAGAAGGAGCTCCCAGACAGTCTCTCTGTAAGGTATTTCCTTTCAAGGCACTCGACTCTGTGCTCTTCTAGTGAATCAAGGATGTAGTTAAAACCAAAGTCTGATTCCTGAGGTCCCACAACTGGTTCAGATAGATTGATAAACTTTATTTGCATTAGCCAATGGCCACAGCAACACTTACCTGGCAGGGGAGACACATTGATCAACTGGTTCAGAGAGAACATGTCTGAGAAGCAACTCTTGAGAAGCACTGAGCTTCTGTTTCCACCTTAGCACCCACCAATTCTTCCCCAAAAGCAGTGCTGGCAGATGAAGAGGCTGCATCCATGAGAGTTGCTCATGCCACAGAAAGTTGAGTGTTGCATCTAGTAATCAAATTGTGCTGTTTTTTGTTTTACTTCTGTGCTCTATAATTTACTGTTCTCATCTCACATATATACTGCCCATCTCATATCTGCTGCAGACTTGCCTGTATACCTCATGCCCCATTAAATCAATATGGTTCTAGTCTATAGGGTGCCAGAACACTCTTTGCCTTCCTCCTGCTCACAGAGCTGCTTTCTGGGAAGTTTTATGAGGTATACTTATAGTTCCCTATGTAGAGCTTGCCTGGCATCTCCCTGAGCCAGGGAGCAATTACCCAAAAAGCTCTGATTAACTCTTATTTGACAGCAGTTGAGAAAAATAACCGTGGTCAGAAGAGTTTTTGGCACTGATGATTTAACCTGACATCATGTGTCCTGTTGGCAGACCCTGGGAGGCGATATCCATCTGGAACCACTTACGTTATTCATTGTTTCTTACATTTGTTTTTAATTTGCCCTTATTTGACTCTAGCTGTGACCACCTAGCTGACTGCAGTATACACACTCCATTCCTTTTTTCCTGGGCTCAGGTTTTACACTCTGCTTACAAACAAACAAAAACCAACCAACCAACCAACCAACCAAAGAATGGAAGACAACAGAAGATGGCAGTCAACTCTTCCCCTCACAGTCCATAAATCAACCCCTCCCGCAGAGCCCCAGGCCAACAGCCAGCTGCTCAATCCCAAGATTTCCCCCAGCTTTTGAGGGCTGAACAGAATGGGACTATAATATCTCCTCCAGCAAGTAGTGGCTAGAGAGAGGCTTTTCCTCCCTCTTTCATAATACTAGAGCCCCAGAGTCACTTAATGAAACTGAATGGTAGACCATTCAAGACAGACAAGAGAACTACAAGACTGTAGTTACAGCCACCAATTTGTATAGCTTTAACATGGGATTAGATACATTCATGGTGGGCAAGGCTATCAATGGCTGAGAGTTACAATGGTTGTCTAATACCTCCAGGATGAGAGGCAACAGGGAGACGGAGAGGGCTATTGCCCTTGTGTCCTGCTTGTGGACATCTGGTTGACTGCTGTGTGGAAACAGCACACTGGACTAGATAAGCTTTTGGGTTGCTCCAACAAGGCTACTCATGTTCTTATGGACTCCGGGATCAATACAGGTTGTTTATAAGGTGCAGTTCTTTTCCTCTGTGACCAGTGTGGGCTGCATTGCTAGGCTGAACTATTGGAGATGATGAAATTCCATGATTGTATTGAAACAACTTGGGTCAGTAATAACAACAGTAGCATTGGCAGAACATTTCACTGTCTGCAAAGCGTTTCACATATATGCAGACCTTTTAGAAGAAAAAAAAATCCCAAAAAGTGAGTGGTTTTATCCTCATATTGCAGTGGGGGATTAAGGCTGAGAGCCAAACTTGATGTGACATTATTTTGCCATGGGCTTTAAAAAAAATAAAAATAGCTGGTGTGGAGGAGGGAGGCTTCAAGCTTTGGCCCCCACCCTGGACCCAATCTGAATGGAATGATTCCACACCTGCTATCTGCAATGACAGGAAGCTCTCACTGGTAACAAGAACCTGTGGTTTTGAGTTCAGTGCCAGGACTCAGCACCAGTCCCCTGAATATATGCAGAGTTTAATTTCAGCCAGGTGTCACAAAGGTTTAAAATCTGGAAGCTGTTTTCAATGCCTGAGAATCTGCCTTCATTATGTAATACACTGTGTCTAACTAGAACGAGTTCCAAGTTTATTAAAGAGAAGGTGGGGAGCATAAGGAAAATGAAACAAGCTGCACAATACACAAAAGTAAAATGCACCTACAAGTCTAATATTAGACAGGCAGGAGCTTAACTTCCAGCACTATAACTCCTAAGGGGCCACAGCAGCATATTAGAAATTCAAACTAAGTAAAGCAATGTAGTTCACTCTTTAAAAAAACAGCTCTGCAGAAAAGTGGGAAACCACTTAGATCTTACAACTCATGAACAAATCAAAAGAGGGAGGGAAGATAAATTTCAACATTTTTGGCCATGGCCTGAGCAGGATGCTGAACTAGAGGAGCCACTGGTCTGATCCACAGGCTCTCCTTATGTTCTTAAAAGTAACTGGCACATATATATTTTTGGAACTCTCTATGGACTGAGTAGAAAACAGGATTTCTCTTTGCACTATGTACCCCACTGTACCATCATCACATTAGAGATCTTGGTGTGCTGGTAATTGGTAGCTGGCCCCCTCACCACACTTTTCTATTCACATTAGCTGAAAGATGGGCTGTGGATTGGACTCTGGCAGAGATTCCCTCTTTGTTTGACACCTTTCAAGAGAAATACCACAGGCTATTTGATAGACTATCAAAGGAAATTGTTCCTCTTTGTAACAGCTAAAAAGCCAGGCTAGATAAAGTGTACATATTGGCATTTTTTAAAAAAAATATTGTGGTGGGATAGAGAATGTCATTCTGGAGATAGGAGTACTGTACAGTACTATATAAAAAGAGAAAAACAGCTATGGTATCAGAGTTTGGTAATTTGGTGAGGTATAGTGACAGTATAAGGGACGCGGGTGGCGCTGTGGGTTAAACCACAGAGCCTAGGACTTGCCGATCAGAAGGTCGGTGGTTCAAATCCCCATGATGGGGTGAGCTCCTGTTGCTCGGTCCCAGCTCCTGCCAACCTAGCAGTTCGAAAGCACATCAAAGTGCAAGTAGATAAATAGGTGCCGCTCCAGCGGGAAGGTAAACGGTGTTTCCGTGCGCTGCTCTGGTTCTCCAGAAGCAGCTTAGTCATGCTGGCCACATGACCCGGAAGCTGTACGCCGGCTCCCTTGGCCAATAAAGCGAAATGAGCGCCGCAACCCCAGAGTCGGCCACGACTGGACCTAATTGTCAGGGGTCCCTTTACCTTTACCTTTAGTTACAGAATATCCTTGCCCTTGAATCACTTGAATCTACCTGGGCAGTTATCTTTCTACAAGGGCTGACATTGATGCAGAAATCCAGCATCGCCTGAGCTCTGCGAGTGCGGCTTTCTCCCTGTTGAAGTGCAGAGTGTTTGAGGACCGGGACATTCGTAGGGAAACCAAAATGCTTGTTTACAAAGCTATTGTACCCTTGAACCATGGGACACTGCTAAGATGCAAGCCTTTAAAGTAAAAAGTGAAATATATATTGAAAGTGCACTTAGTCATAGGTTAGAATTTGTGTTTTTATATTATTTCAGACCAGTACTGATTCCTTCATCCTTGCCAACTCCATACATTTTTTAAATAAACCAAATTGGATTTGGTTTGGGCTCTATGATCCTAATGAATCTTTACCACTTCTGACAGATCTAAAGGTGTGGGCTCAGCATGTGCTCTTTGCTGCAGGGGGAAACTGGCAGGGCTAGCAGCATCCCTAGAAGAGAAAAGGCAGCCTTCTGCCTTCCAAATAAAATGGAAGCTTTTGTCGAGCTCCCATACGTCTGGGTTTCCCTGGACCTTACTGGGATTTCAAATGCAGAATTTACATTGGGGGGGGGGGGAGAATTTCCCAAAGGCAGCACTTTGTCCTGGATCTTAGGCAAGTCAATTGGAAAAAAAAAATTTTTTTTTTTGCGTTTTTGTAAAAGAAAAAAAAAGGCTAAACAACCTTGGGGTTTGTGTAAAAAAATCCCAAAAAGTTCAGTGGTTTTCTTTAAAAATAAGCCAGCTCAACAACATTCAGGATATCCTGGTTTTTAGTTTTTGATCTATGGCAACCCTAGCTTTTGCCATTTTTGCATATGGCAACGTGCACCAAGGGGACATGAACCACAGCCTCTCTTGATTTGCCCTGGTACTTCAGGGCAAAGGAATCTGTCTTACTGTGAGTGTTCCCTTTCTTGTGCCAGTGGGATTAGCTCAGTGGTTTATTGATCAGTTTCCCCCCTTCTTGGCTGCAAGGTTCTCCAAGAGAAGGGCAGCTGCTTTGTCCCTAGTGTGCAG